CCTGAACTGCATAGCAAGACCCTGTCTCAAAAAGACAAAAAAAAAAAAAAAAATTAAAAAATAATTAAAAGGTAAAGCCAGTATTTAGAAATTATAGTTCATTCCAAATACCATGTGTTTTTCATTATTCCACATTAACACTAATTTTAAAAGGTAAGTGAATTACAAGGTTCAAAAGCACAGGTATCTATAAAATGTTATTTTTACATATACCTACTTCAGCCATCTCTTCCTCTTCCTCCTCTTCTGAAGTTATTTCTTCTGTTGTCCCATTCTGAAACGGAGAACAACTTGCCAAGGCTCCACAGAACAAATGTGCACACACTGAGTAGAGAGGAGCAGCGCCACAACTTGGGAGACAAACTATCACTGCCCTTCCGCTAACAGACAGCTTATTAAAAATAAAACATTCGTTTTCAAATCCAGATTTCACTTGACAAAATAACACTTTATCAGCTTTTAAAAAAAATTTTAACAATTCAACTTACAGATGACTTAGGAATAAATAAAAGTAACCACTCAAACGCAAACCAAAACGGGAAAAAAATGTTTTAAACACGTTTGTTTATAATAAATATTCCAAGCTATTGATTCCTTAAATATCTACCTTTTTAACTTGAAAAGCTTGAATCTTTATATAAATTCAACTGTCCTTCATGTGAAAAGGTCAGGCATATTATAAAGGAACAGGCACTTCACGGAAAAGAAAAATTATAAAATAATCACACTTAAGAGCCAATATTCTTTTTTAAGCCATGTTATTTACTACAGAACACCTCTTTGTAACACATAACTTACTGCTCACTCACAAATTAATCTGATGGGGTTTTAGGAAGCACCTTCATAGCCGGCTTTTGCAGATTTCAAAAGGCCTTGTTTGCTAGGTCCTAGCATGGTTCTCCAGTCACGGTGTAGAAACCCACTTTTAACCATAAAAGTGGGCTGAGGTAGGACCCAGACTATCTAAGAGAAGATAGGACCCAGAGATCACATCAGACAAAGACCTCAGCAGTACCTAACCATCTGTTGTTAGAACCTCCGGAGTGTGTAATTCTTTTTTTTTTTTTTTTTTTTTTTTT